AAATAATATAGTTTAAAAATATGCTGTATATCACGTTTAGTTCTCATATTGTTCAAACAGGTAATTTTTTGTCAAATTTTCCAGAAGCGTTTCTTTTAAATTTCAAATATTTGAACATGTTGATTATGGTGACTGATAGCTGAAGCTGAAACTGCCACATTTGATTGATTAATCTAATTTTCTTCAATTTTTATATCTTATAAAAACTCATCTTAAAAGTAAGAGCTTTATTCCTAATTAATATTTATTCTTATTTCATAATCTTATTTAGTAGGAGCATAGAAGAACATAAACCTAAAACATTAAAAAATGTATATATAATAATTTTTAATTTGGCACAAAAGTCTTGCAGTCAAATAATAAGATTATTGGTAAAATAATAATATTGATTTGATAAATTATACTACACTATTATTTATTCACCATTATTTATTTCATTACCATTATTTATATCATTACCATTATTAATATCATTACCATTATTAATATCATTACCATTATTTATATTATTATATTATTTACTTCATTATCTTTACTTTTCTTGAAAAGAAAAAAAGACCTAACTAACGCCACGATCCAATAAATAACATATCCAATAAACTGAAATAAACTGACTTTATTAGACCATCCAGAGATATTTTTCAAAACATCCCATCCTTGACTAGTATCCGGATCACAACAATCTAAATTCCATAAAAGTATTTGATTTGAATTTGTGACTATTTCAAGATCATAAATTGAAATCCCAAATAATCCAGCAGCCACAAAAAAACAAGCTATAATACAGATTATGGAAAAGGCACGTAATGGAACATGGTGAGAACATTTATATATTAGATAACCTCCTGAACAACCCGATATGGCACCAATCGACCCTGATATCGCGATAGGCAAGGGTTTTTCTTCGAAAGACTTTAGTAAAATAAGGTTAGCATTTTATATATATGATCAAGAAACAATCAGATAATATTAAAAAATGAGCTACCCCATAAATAAATATAAAAGATTCCAAAGCTTCACGCAATATAACAGTAAATGGTAAAAAAAACAAGAACCATTTATTTCCACTAAAGTATCTTTTTAGATAAGTTATTGTGGTATCTTTTATTTGCTTTTCTAATGTTTCTTTCCAAAAAACGGCTTTGATCATATACCATGCGATTAGTGTAATTAATACTACGGCAAGTAACGAAGAAAGTGCTTCTAATTTATCATTATGATAATTAATTTACTTTATTATAAAAGACTTGATTTATCATATATCAGGTTATGAAAAAAAATAAAATATTTACCCCATAATAATTCCCCAGTTCTAAAAAACAAACAAATGAATAAATAACAATATTATTACCATTATTATTTAATGTTCGATTTAGCAAAGATAAACTTACGCATTTTGCAAATTCTTTGTAATGGCATTAAAAACTACCGCAAACAAAAGTCCCAGGACCAACGAAACCATCACTCCAGCAACAGTACCATACAAGACCGTTCTTTTCAGTTGATCACGTAATTCTTGGTTTGAAGTATTCTGCCGCTGTTGAAATCTGTGTAGACGTTGCAATAATCCATTATTTTGAGTTTCTTGAAGCTGAGTGGTCATTTCTTGATTATTTGATGAGGTCAGTGATTCTTGAGTTTCTATTGGAATTATTTTATTTATGAACCCATATAATATTGACATTATTATTGTACATTCTAAAGTTTCTCTAAATACAACAAAGAAGATTGGAACATCAAATATGACCATTTTCCTAAAAAAAAAAAAAAAAAAAAGAGTACGCTATGGATTTATTTTGAAAATTTGTTCAGTGGACTTTTTTAAATGAAGGATTATATATCCTCTTAACGTTAAGGATTTAAACCAATATCAACATGAATATTGCATTTGTCTGCACCTAAACGCTACGTATGCATATTTACAAAATAAGAATTATCGCATCGGTTTTTTTTTTTTTTATACGAATGAAAATGGTGGTTATTATATGTAATTTTCGTACAATGCATTAACTGTTACAAGTATGACGTATTATTCTCAATTGGTTGAAAGATTTGTTTATTAATATCTATTTTCGAAAAAGATTTATTAAGGAACATTCTACTTACTAACTAAATCTGGATAAATTTATACGTATCGGTACATATTTTATTAAAAACTTGAATGATCATGCTTTTCATAAATAAAAATATCATTATGTAGATCTCTATTAAAGAATTCATTGTTACCTATAATAATTAATGTTGCTACGTAGCCGAAATCTCTTAATAAATTTAGGAGTTTCGGCAACATTAATTCGAGTTAAATAATTCTAAATTTATTCGATCCATTCTTTATCTTATCCGTTAATTACTTTATACGTATCGACCATAGTGTATTATAGAAGTAATTTTCCTCTATCGATATGTATTAGGTTCTTGACCTTATGAAAATGTGCATAAAAAATAATTATTAATTTTTGTGCATTTAGAGAACATGTGCCTAATTCTGTAATCATCATATTCATTATACGTAGTTGAATTAATTCTAATTACACTCAAAAATATAACGTATCATTTTTATACTTCTCGATCTGTTACTTCTGTATGTCGCACTTTACCCGATTTAGTATTGCTTGCTGTAAATATTGTTGCAGATTGTGAAATTTAGGGGTCTCAATTTAAACATAAGTCCCACCAAAATCCAGTATACTCTTTTCCTAATAATTCTAACCCTAAACCCTAACAACTATAAAAAAAACCTAACAAAAAAGGCTCCAAAAAATTTTAAAAATCGGACATAAAATAAGTTAAATTTTATTATGATCTGCCACAAATATTAATAAAATAGTCAGGGCCGTCTCCCGAAAGTACTATCACTAGGGTTGTGTTACAAAAATTACAATCTTACATTTACTTGTAATTTTACGTAAGTTTCAGTAAATCGAATTACACGTAAGTTTGGTCACATGATATAAAGTACTGGGATTACATAAGTTAAATTTGGCCATTAGCGTTAGATTTATTTGAATATCTAAGACATCTGTTACGATATCATTATATTTAAATATGAAGCGTGTAACGAATTGCTATACTATACGTTTATTTAATCATTTCATTCACACGATATGAAGATATTAATTTTGTTTCGCGATTATTTTTACTCCATGATTCCAATTCACTCTGATCATGATTACTGATGCTGATTGTTTTCGTTTCTTATTACCATTTGAAGCTTCATTTATTGTTGAATTTCGCAAAGAACATATATCCACATGCTCCTGTAATCTTGTTGCATTTTTTGCCACTTCCTTACTACATGCTTTGCATTTGTAACATTCTTTTCCCTTTTCGTCTATTCGCATAGTATATTGATCCCACATTTCAAATTTTTTTTTTTTTTTAACCATTTTTAGTACAGTAGTATGTTATAAAATTTTTAGTTTCGATTTTACTTTATTTTATATTTTATGCTTTATATGACATAAATAATTAAGCGAATGAATAATTACGTATCGACATCATGTGATCAAAATTATGACAATTTCAGTAATTAGCGAATGAAAAATTTAAAATTACGGTAATTTCACAACCCTAGTTAAGAGTCAACCTGACCCGAACTTGACCTGAAAATTACTAATAATAAGGCAGGTCAGCATTAAATTAATTTTGGCCAGCTTTAAGAATAATTTTGGTTAGCATTAAACTTAATTTTGACTTAGCATTAATATTAATTTTGGCTAGTATTAAACTTAATTTTGGCTAGCATTAAGTATTATATTGGTTAGTGTTCCTAGTGTTCTTCAAACCCAAACTGAAAATCTGAACTTGACCCAGATCCAATCTCACGAATCAGGTTAAAACTATGATTTTTTGAATCTGACTAGTGTCAGGTCATAATAAAGACCTGAACTGATAATACTTGAACTGACCTGTAAAGTAGAAAATATAGCTAATTGGTTGCTTGTTTTTTATAAAAATGAATTTTTTTTTTTTTTTTTTTTTTTTTTTTTTTTTTACTAAATTATGATGTTTTATAAAAACTAAAGTATTAATTTTTTTTTTTTGGTTAATTATGTTGAAACTTTCTGGCTTCTGTCTTTTACAATAAGATCAGATATGTTACTATAATCTAATATAGCTATATAGTCCTCTAAACTAAACCTGATAGACTGAATTTTTTTTTTTTCAAACCAATTTTCTTAAAAACATTAATTTCAGTATAGAGTTAACTGAAAAAAAAAGAATAATGTCGAGCTCAAGTATGTTTTTGTATGATAGTATTTATAATGAAACTTATGATGAACTCTATGATGAACTCTATAATAAATCTTATGATAAATCTCATAATGAATCTTATGATGAACCTCATTATAAACTTTGTGATGAACTTTATAATAACAATGACATACAGGAACTAATAAATATAATTTGTTCAGATGAATTTGAAAATGATGAATCATTATCTTTAACTAAAACTACTATAACTAATAGATAATTTATTTAGAAACTTAGTACTATATTAATTTTATATTATATAGTTATATTAATATATTCATTTATAGATCATTTGTATGAAAGCATTTTAAAAAAAAAAAATTAAAAATAAAAATGGATTAATTGTATTAGCTGTAGTATGTAAACATTGTAGTAATGATTTAAAAATCTATAAAAATAGATCAACTTCAAACTTCTACAAATATCTTATTTGACAACATAAAAATAAAGTCTAGAATTAAAAGAATTAATTACAGAATCAAAGCAAAATGTCTCTATTTTAGATATGCTTAAAAACAAAGCTGTAAGTTATAAAAAAAAAAATATATATATATATATATATATATCTTGTAGCATCTTTAAAACATATAATGATGTATAATTATTAGACTACAAATCAAGGTTGTGAATCCTTTGAGTTTAAAAAATTTATTGACTTTATTAAATGATAAATTATTAAACATAACTAGTTATTTTATATAGTTAAAGATGATAGTCTTAGAGAAATATTTACATATTTGGAGCTCTAAGCAATAGATAATTTTATTTTATAAAACCTATCTGTATGTTGTTTTAAGTTATTTAATTATACATATTGTTACAAGTGTCAGCCTTCTTAATTCAACACAAGTAACATAAGACACAGAAGAGGGGCTCTCAACGGTGTCCAAGTGGAATATTACTTCACTGTGGCAGTTCGTTACAAAGTTAATGAAAAAGCAAAGATTATACTTTATTTAGAATACAATATCGATAATACAAGACTATCTATTAGTTTCTGTGCTAAGAGAATTCTAATATTAAGGAGATTGCAGAGGTTAAACCTAAGTTGAAGCAAAAGGAAAAGGAAGAGTTTATATAGCTTTTTACAATTAAGAATAAGAACAGTAGAAACAGTAAAAACAGTAAGAATGGTAAGAACAGTAAGAACAGTAAGAACAGTAAGAATAGTAAGAATAGTAAGAATGGTAAGAATGATAAGAACAGTAACTGTTTCTAAATTGTTTCTAAGACAACTCTAAAACTATAAGTTCTACAGTTATGAATTATAGCTCATTCGAAAGGTCTCTTCAAGCTGGATCTAATAGTAAAGTCTAAATCTATTTGTGACTACTAAATTATTTGTAAAAGCAATATAATAAATAAAGTATATTCAAGAAACTAACTAAAAATACTAATAATAAAAATAATAAAGTAAAATAATAAGATAAAATAATTGAAACTCATTTTATAACAGTATATTAAGAAGAAAAAGAAAAATAGCAATAACTCAAAGAACTATAAAAAACTTTCACTTGAAAAGTTGTTATGAAAAATTTTTTTTTGAAAAACTAGAGATCTGGTTTAACTCTAAAGTGCAGATCAGCTTAAATAATACAAATATATAAAAAATCAGAAAAACAAACAAATATGTTAGTAAATACTAATAAGACATACTATATAACAACTAATAGAAAGGTAGTATGCAAGTCTCAAACTAGAAAATTCACAAGCAAAAAAGAAAATCTATAGAGAATTTAAAAAAAATACAAGATCTTAAAATCAAATCTAGTATAAAGCTTTAGAATAAAAAGCAATATTAAAAAAGATATAGAAAACAGAAAGCTTTAAATACTTTATCAAAAAGTTAATTAAGGAGTATAGATGAGAAATTATCTAAGAAGGTAGTGTATTAGTACTAAAATTAGCAGATCATTTTGATAAAATGGTAGCAAAAGCTATGAATATAGATAAAATATTATTATCTTAGCTAGGCAATAGCATATTATATTAGAAAAAGCTGCTTTTATAGAAGAAGTTGATAAAGTTAAAAAAGTCTTAAAAAGAAAGCAAGTACTAATAATTATACAACAAAAAATTATAAATAAAATAATAGAAGAAATATAAATAGGAACTAAGAAAGTATCAATAATAGAAATAATAAGTAGTAGAGATATAAAATCAGATGAATCTACAAAACAGAATATACAAGTTTAAGAAAAATCAGATAGCATAGCTAGTAGAGTAGAAAGAAATAAAGAACTAGAAATTATAGAAGATATCTAACTGATAAAAAACAGTATAGAAGTCAACTTATATAAAAATAAAATAGAAGATAAACTAGAACAATTAGCAGAAATAGAAAAGTCAAGATACAGTAGTATATCTCTAGACTGTAGTATATGAGTATCTAACTCAAAAGCATATAAAGACAAAGAAATGATCAAAATGAAAGTAGTAGTAGTTAAGATTTTAGGAGATAATGCTAAACAAAAAGAAAAGTCAATCAGATAGTCA